CTCAAAGATGGTGTGGCATATAGGGAGGTGCAATCTCCTGATGATATAGAGTGTATTATAGTGGAAATCTGCAACCCTAGGAAACAAGATAACATTAGGATAATCAATTTATACAACCCATGTAAAAATCTAACCACTGATATATTTAAAGAAATAGCAGGCAATAAACATAGGAAGGAAGTTTGGTGTGGTGATTTCAATGCACACAACAGTCTATGGGGCAGCAACCATACAGACAGTAACGGAAATATAGTGGAAGAAATGCTGGAGGAAAGAACACTAGTATGCCTTAATGATGGACATGGCACAAGAGTAGATGTACACAGGGGGAAAGTATCATGCCTGGATCTGACATTAGTGTCAAACTGTTTGGTTCATACATGCGAATGGTTTGTTTTGAATAAATCCACAGTAGGAAGTGACCATTATCCAGTGCTTACTAAAATGAATACTAATGTATATATACAGGAAGGAGGTGCAATAACCAGGTGGTGCTTTGCTAAAGCTGATTGGGGGAAATTTAGGATATGGTGTGAGGAGTCGGTACACCTGCTAACATCAGAGGGAAGCATAGAGGTCATTACAAGCCAAATAACGCAACATATTCTAAATGCAGCAGAGAACAGTTAACCCAAAACAACAACCAAGGGTAGGAAGAAAGTGGTGCCATGGTGGAATGAGGAATGCAGCAGGGCTATTAAAGAGCGAAATAATGCATTTAGAGAATTAAAGAAAAACATGACACAAAATAATGTTATAGAGTTTCAAAGGAAAAGGGCAGCTGCTCGAAGGACAATCAAATACACAAAAAAAAGAATAATAAGGATAGGATAATAGGTCAGCTCTTGATGTGGAATTTACAATGTCAGAACTCAAAATAGCCTTACAAGGTACAGGATATACAGCCCCAGGACAAGACCAGCTATGTTATGCTATGTTTAGACAGTTGCCTATGGAAACTATGACAATGGTGCTGAGTCTTTTCAATAAAATCTGGAGAGAAGGAGATATGCCAAGTTTGTGGAAAACAGCAGTCGTGCTACCATTCAATAAGCCAGGGAAAGATACAGCTAACCCTAGTAACTACAGACCAATAGCTCTTACATCACACCTATGTAAATGGTTGGAAAAGATCATTGTCCGTAGGCTCTCACATGTACTGGAGCAGAAAGGGCTGCTGAGTAGTTTTCAGAGCGGATTTCGTAAAGGGCGGTCCACAATAGATGCTTTAGTAAGAGTGAGTAATGATGTGGAAAAAACATTGAAAATGAAAGAGATAATGGCAATAGTGTACTTTGACATTGAAAAGGCGTATGACTGTATGTGGAGGGATGGGTTACTGATCAAATTGAGTAGAATGGGTATTGGAGGGAGAATGTACAATTGGGTAAGGGCCTTTTTAACAGACAGGACATTTAGAGTAAAGGTTGGAGCAGATATTTCCAACTTTTTTGAAATAGAAAATGGTATTCCCCAAGGGAGTGCAGTCAGTCCACTATTGTTTAACATCATGATTAATGATATATTTACATGCTTAGACACATGCATTCAATCGGCTCTATACGCAGATGATGGGGCTATTTGGATGAGGGGAAGAAATGCCCCATACGTAATGGAGAATATAGGTAGAGCGATTAAAAAAGTGGAGAGGTGGTCATATAACTGGGGATTCAAAATGTCAGAAAGCAAGTCATGCTACATGATATTCACAAACAAACGCAAGATTGATGGCCAACAGCTAACACTATATGATCGTCCAATGACAAAGGTGAATGAGTTCAAATACCTAGGACTGTGGTTTGATAGCAAATATACATGGAAAATGCATATTAATCAAGTGGAAACAAAATGCAAAAAAGTATTACATTTATTGCGAGCTGTAGCTGGATGCAACTGGGGCGCAGACAAACAAGCATTAATAGATATTTACAGATCAATTATGAGGTCCACAATAGATTATGGTTGTATAGTGTATGGAGCAGCAGCAAAAACATCGCTTTTAAAAATTGATAGAATACAATATAAAGCATTGCGGTTGTGTATTGGAGCGATAAAGTCATCCCCTATCAATGCAGTTCTGATAGAAGCAGGAGAGACACCTCTGGAGATCAGAAGAGAGAAACTTGCTCTGTCATACTGGGTCAGACTACAAGGAAGTGGAGAAGAAAATATTTCAAACAGAATATTACAGGATTGCTGGGAATATGCAAAATTCCAGGGACGTGGGTTTGGCTGGACGAGTAAGGAGAGAACGAGGGCATATGGAGTGGACAATATCACGTTTGCCAAAGCAACCCCATTTAGCAGTGTTCCTCCATGGCTTTTCCCAGAAGCTAAAATAGATATGAGTATTGTAGAAAGGAAAAAAGAGTGGCAAGTAAATGAAGTGGGAATTAAAACAAGTATGTATCTGAATGAAAAGTATTACAATTGCCTACAAATTTACACAGATGGTTCTAAGAACAAGGAAGAGTGTGTTGGAATTGGTATATATATCCCAGAATTTAAAATATCTATTTCAAAAAGAGCGTCTGATCAATTATCAGTGTACACAGCAGAAATGCTGGCAGTAATAATAGGATTACAGTGGGTTGAAGAGGTCAGACCAGATAGGGTGGTGATGTGCACAGATTCATTGTCCATATTACAAAGCATACAGTCAACAACAACTGCCAGAGAAGACATTCTCATAGAACTGAATCAGAGCCTGTTAAGACTGCACAGAGGCGGCATAGATCTGCAGTTCTGCTGGGTGCCTGCACACGAGGGGGTGAAAGGGAACGAGTGTGCTGATAGATTAGCAAAAAGTGCACTACAAAAGGAAATCACATTACCAGTTCAACTTGGAGAAGGAGAAGGAAAAGCAGTCATTAAGAAGAAAGGGATGGAGATCTGGCAGAAAAGGTGGGAGAAAGACCAGAAAGGCAAAGAGTATCATCAAGTGCAAAAGACAATTACAATTCATATTTATAAAGAAAGAAATAGAAGGGAGGAAATCATGATAGCTAGGCTCAGACTAAATCACACTGCATTGAATGGTACGCTGTATGTCATGGGGAAAAGTGACAGTGACAAGTGTGGGAGCTGTGGAGTAAAAGAAGATGTAGAACATATCTTGATACATTGTGACATATATAAAGCGGAAAGAGAAAAACTAAAGGCTAAAGTTTTAGAGGCAGAGGGAATGGAGTGTGGTTGGTATTTTGGGAACAAAAGGAGAGGGAGTAAGAGCTACCAGAAAGGCACTGTTTACATTCTTGAGTGAAACTGGGGTAGGAAAAAGAATTTAACATTAGGTCAAGAAAGAACATAGATTTTTATTTTTGTTTTATTTATTTCATGTTTTTTTTTTTTTTTTTTTTATTTATTTATTTATTTATTTATTTTGATTAGATCATAGGTTAAAGAGTTGGTATGATATGATGATTCATACTCATGTACAGTAGGTGGCGGTATGCACCTTTTAAGTTGTTTGCAATCCGCCAAAAAACGAAGAGAAGAAGAAGAAGAAGAAACCTATTAAGAGCAGTGGCTGGATGTGACTGGGGAGCAGACAAACAGGCATTAATCGACATCTATAGTGCAATTATGAGGACAACTCTGGATTACGGGTGTATAATATATGCAGCAGCAGCAAAAACGTCATTACTAAAAATGGATAGGTTACAATATAAAGCATTACGGTTGTGTATAGGTGCAATTAAGTCAACCCCTACTAATGCAATATTAGTTGAAGCAGGAGAGACTCCATTGGAGCTAAGAAGAGAGAAAATTGCTCTTGCTTATTGGGTCAGGTTAAAAGGAAGTGGGGAAGGAAATGTCACAAACAAAACATTACAGGAGTGCTGGGAATATTCCAAGTTTCAGGGGCGTGGGTTTGGATGGACAAGTAAAGGAAAAATAAGGACATACGGCATGCATGAGTTAGAGTTTTCACCATCAAATCCATTCAGTAGTGTACCCCCATGGCTTTTTCCAATAGTTAATATAGATGTGAGTATTGTAGAAAAGAAAAGAGAGTGGCAAATAAGTGAAGTAGGATTCAAAACAAGTTTGTACCTCAGGAGTAATTATCACAATTACCTCAAAATATACACAGATGGTTCTAAGAACAAGGAAGAGTGTGTCGGAATTGGTATATATATCCCAGAATTTAAAATATCGATATCAAAAAGAGCGTCAGACCAACTTTCAGTGTATACAGCAGAAATGCTGGCAGTAGTAATAGGATTACAGTGGGTGGAAGAGGTCAGACCAGATAGGGTGGTGATGTGCACAGATTCATTATCCAGTTTACAAAGCATACAGTCAACAACAACTGCCAGAGAAGACATACTCATAGAAATCAATCACAGCCTGTTAAGACTTCACAGAAGCGGTATAGATCTGCAGTTCTGCTGGGTGCCTGCACATGAGGGGGTGAAAGGGAACGAGTGTGCTGATAGATTAGCAAAAAGTGCACTCCAAAAGGAAATCACATTACCAGTTCAACTTGGAAAAGGAGAAGGAAAAGCAGTAATTAAGAAGAAAGGGATGGAGATCTGGCAGAAAAGGTGGGAGAAAGACCAGAAAGGCAAAGAGTATCATCAAGTGCAAAAGACAATTACAATTCATATTTATAAAGAAAGAAATAGAAGGGGAGGAAATCACGATAGCTAGGCTCAGACTAAATCACACTGCATTGAATGGTACGCTGTATGTCATGGGGAAAAGTGACAGTGACAAGTGTGAGAACTGTGGAGTTAGGGAAAATGTGGAACATATTTTATTACATTGTGTCACCTATAGAGTTGAAAGAGGAAAATGAAGGGCTAACGTTTTAGAGGCAGAGAGGGAGTGGAATGTAGCTGGTATTCTGGGAACAGAAGGAGTAAGAGCTACCAGAAAGGCACTGTTCACCTTTTTGAGGGAAACTGGGATAGAGAAAATAATCTAACAGTAGGTTAGAATAGATCATGGATGATTTGTTTTTTGTTTTTGTTTTATTTATTTAATGGTTTCTTAGTTTTATGTTTTCGATATGCTGGTTTATTAGAGGGATGACATGATGATACACACTCGTGTACAGTAGGTGGCGGTATGCAACCAAAAGCTGTTTGCGATCCGCCATTAAAAAGAGAAGGAGAAGGAGAAGAAGAAGAAGACTCCTTGCCGCTGCGTTAGCCGTTCGATTAGCTCTCCGGTTCGCTAAATGTAGTTAAGAGGAGAAACACATACCATGTTTAGTTTGATAATAAGCGAAGAGGTGGACCGACACCGGAAGCTGCCTGTGCATGAAAGGACCCCGGGAATAAGAACAGGTTTGTATTATTTCTGTATACTGCGTTCCTGATGTTGCTAAGCTAACGTTAGCTGCAGCTAGCTAGCTTCAGTCTGAGCCTTTACTTTGTGTTTGTTTATTATAACCAGCGGGTAGAGTAACGAAGTACATTTAGTCATGTACTGCACTAGTAACTTGAGGTACTACTGCTGTACTTACGTTTTAGTATGTTCTGCTGTTTTATACCTTTAACCAGGGTTGCCAACTTTGGGTACCTGGCTTGAGTGAGATTTTGATATCATGGGTTTAATTCGGTTTAATTACACATATGCGCACGAAATGACTGCTATCGTGTCAGCAGCGGGACCTTAGCATATATATAGGATATATATATATATATATATATATACAATATATACAAATACACAATAATGGACACAGACTATAAAGGGGCACACAGTTTCATTCACTAATGAAAGTCAAACATGTTTGTTTCCACTGTTTTATTGTGTGCCTGTCGCGATATGCAATTAATTGACTTATCGTACGATAAATAAAAATGAACTCGATAAATTTCCATTTACATGAGGATGTGACTAGCAGTTTGAAAGGATGTACTTGAATTATTATTATATATTATCATTATGTCAGTGGTCTAAAATGGTCATACAACGGTGCCGACAATATTATCGTTTATCGCAATAATTTCCGCGAAAATGTATCCAACTAAATTAATTATCGTGAGAGGCCTATACATGAAACACACACACAAACAAATCTACAGACTTACTCCAAACTGCCAAATATATTAATTAACACACTCTCACTCTCATATACTCTTTGACTCTATTTTGGCCTAGTAGAACAATAAGCAGCAGACTTTTACTTTTTTATCATTTCTACTGGATCTTAGATCTGCGCATGCGCAATACGGGTCGGCAGTTGCGGCTCCAGAGTATTTTTGTTGGGTAATCTCAGTGGTGGGGCTCAAGTCAGTATTTGCAATGTAATTACATACACGCTCCCCCCGACAGTGAAACGCCACGCGTGAGGTTTAGATTATTTCCCTGTCTCAATCCAAATTGAATTGTATGAAATAAAAAGGCACATTTGTCTTGTAGTAAATAAAAAGGGCGACCTGGAGCCAATCCTGCAATTTCCCCACAGGTGAAAGAGTTGACATGCTGAAAACCCAACCCCTGCAGGGGGGTCTGGGGGGATTCTCCCCCAGGAGATTTTTTGAAATACTAACATCAAATACACATTCTGGTACTCTCTTGAGAAGAAAAAAAAAAAATCTATTACTACACATTTAAAAAAATGAATGCCATTTTTGTGTTTTGTTACTTTGTTCTGAAAGCTGAACCTGCTGCTCCTCACAGAGAGAAGAGGGAAGAGGCTGTATGAATTACTTTACATTGTGGATAAGGGTGGATAGCCCCCATTGTTCTGTGTGTCAAAATGAAAGACAGTCCACACACCTATCAATCATCAAACCGTGGGGTCTTATTTCATTACGTGTTGATTTCTATCAACACGTAATGTTGTATCGATGTAGCCAGATGTACTACAGCAAAAGTATTCTCTGTCGGGACTTCCTGCAACAACACCACGCCGTTATTGTGATTCGGATTGGCCAGAAGACATTATCAAAGATGTTCTATTGAGAAGACGATCACTACGTGACAAAAGTTTTCAAAACCGTTTCTAGTCTTCGGTATTCTTGTTTTTGGCGTGAGAATAGTTTGGGCAGCGTGAGAGCGTGAGATTGAGAGTGAAAGCGTGTGTCACACGCCAGATGCGTGAGAGTTGGCAACCCTGCTTTTAACTGCACTGCATTTAGCCGAAAGCTTTAGTTTCTTTGCAGATTCAGATTTTTAAGACTAAATATAATTTAAATAACAATTAATGATGACATATTATTATAGAGTACTTTAACTTTTAGTTAAATAGTCAAGGAAAATGGTTTACCGATAATGATAATCTGACTGAGGATATTTAAGGAGTATTCATGTAATTATGGAGGATCAATTATAACTATCCAGTGGTCATCTTAAACAGGCACTTGATATCATGTTGCCATTTTATAGCCATGTAGAATCAGGATTAGAACAAAATAAATATTTAATAAACGAAATATCAAATATTTACCTTTTTATAAACGTCAATTTTATGTTTTCGCTTTGCGTCCTGTATGAATACAGCATTGGACAATCCAAAATATATATTAACACCCATCCAACCGGATCATGAGCACATCTTTACATATTTGATTATATCAGCAGGAAGTGTTACTAACTTTCCCTAGCATAATTTACCGCTCTTACAGATGAAATCACAGATATCAGGAGCCTCAGATCTCAATGTGAAGCCTTGGTTATTAATATGGGTTTTCTGTTTCTCTCCTCATGTGACAGGCAACTGTTCCAGAGCTGGTCTGGTCTGAGATTATAGGTCACCGTGATTATAAATGTCTGTCTGTGTTTCAGTTTTACCTTCAGATGTACGAAAGGTGATTGTTGGTGAAGGCGAGCAGCAGATGGTTTCACTCTCACCTGCAGACGTCCAGCAGCTGGTGGTGGTTAAAGAAGAGGATCCCCCTGAGCAGCAGGAGTGGAGCTCCAGTCTGGACCAGGAGGACCCAGAGCCCCCCCCTCACATTAAAGAGGAACAGGAGGAACTCTGGAGCAGTCAGGAGGGAGAGCAGCTTCAAGGGCTGGAGGAGGCTGATATCATTGAGTCCACCTTCACTCCTGTCCCTGTGAAGAGTGAGCATGATGAAGAGAAACCTCAGTCCTCTCAGCTTCATCAAAGACAAACTGAACACATGGAAGGAGAAGCCGATGGAGAGGAATGTGGAGGACCAGAACCAGCCAGGGACTCAGATCCAGAGAGACATTTACCATCGGAGACTGACAACAACACGGAAGACTCTTCTGAACCTGAGACTGATGACAGTGATTTCTGGAAGGAGTCCAGGGAACGTCCGTCAGATTTAAACTCTATGGAAAATGATCAAGTCCCTGTAAGGGATTCCAAACATAGTGCTCGAGGGAAACCATTTAGCTGCTTTCAGTGTGGAAAAAGATTTAGCTCTAAGGGAGACCTGAAGGGACACATTATAACTCATACAGGAGAGAAACCATTCAGTTGCTCTGGGTGCAATCAAATATTTTTGTGTGAAGAACAGCTTAAGTTACACATAATAACTCATACAAGAGAGAATTCCTTTAGTTGTTCGAATTGTGATATACGTTTTGAACAAAACGTAAATCTGACAAACCACATTGCAGTCCACACACGGGACAAACTCTTCCACTGCTCTGTTTGTAACTCAGGTTTCAGTGATAGTGAGGCTTTAGTTCAACACATGAGGATCCACACGACACAAACACAGTTTAGTTGCCCAATTTGTAGTAAAGAATTTGCCTGGAGAAGATATCTGACAAAACATATGGATATCCACAAAATCTACAGCTGCAGTGTTTGTTCCAAAAAATTCACTCGGCGTTATCAGCTGAAATACCATCAGTGTGTTGGTCGTCAGTCCTCAAAGCCTCATCAGAGCAAAACTGAGAACGAAGTCCTTGTCAGTAATGATAGGTGTAATACTGCTGAAAAACCATATAGCTGCTCTGAGTGTGGGAAAATATTTGGCCATAAGCACCATCTGAAGAGACACCGGAGATCTCATACAGGAGAGAAACCATTTAGTTGCTCAATTTGTAAGAAGTATTTTGCACGTAGGGAAACTTTACAGACACACATGAGGATCCACTCAGGAGAGAAACCATTCAACTGCTCAGTTTGTGATAAAACATTTCTGCGCAAGGCACATCTGAAAAGACACATGGGAACTCATACAGGGGAGAAACCTGTCAGCTGCTGAATGTCTGGGAACAAATATATAGAGGCAGTAAGTCTGACACATTATAGGAATTATGCAGAAACACACTGAAATCCAAACATAAGAACATATTTATTCAGATTGTAATTAAAGTTTAATTTAAGCAACACAAGTAGGCTGGTTATTCTACATTACTCATTGTATACCATGTATACATTTATTAAAAGTCTTATATATATATATATATGTTTTTTATTTCCCCTACACAGCACTTTTGTTTGGACTTAATTATTGTCTCTGTTGTGAAGCTAATTGTTTTACCACCTTGCTATGAAGTATGTTTAAAGTATTGTAGTTGTGTAATTGTGTACATCCTCGTTTCTTGTTTAACGTGGCCCACAGATTATCCATCCTCTTTCATATATCAGAGTGATTCTTCATATTCAGCAAAAAAATCTGTTTCCTTGTTTAGATAAGCACAAACTTTGTATATGGAGGGGAATATTTTGTGTTCACAGATTTTTCTCAGTTTTATTTATAAACATATGAATACATATTGTAACAACTGCTCAAGTTCTCTGATTTCATTGTTTCATGATGGCTTACAAACTGTTAGGTTTTACTTTATATATTTAACAAAGTTGTGTAACTAAGCAGGGTGTTGCTCAGGAAACGTCTTGTATATTATATTTTTTTATTTACTGAGATAAAAACATCCTAACAAATTTGTGACACTTCTTTTTACATTACATTTCATTTAGTGTGCATTCCACCATCATCTTAAAATTAGCTTAAGCATTTTCAGTACTACATACAGAAATGAGAAGTTATTTAAAAAAAATGTATTGTCCAAAGTGCAGTGGAAACAGGTGGGTTGTCAGTCAGAGACTGAAGAAAGGTTGACTTGATATTAAGTAGCTTGTTCAACTGTGAGAGCCAGGACTGTGGCTGCGAGGAAGTGCGGTCGTCTTTCAACCAGCAGGTTGTTGGTTCGATCCCGGCCCGTGCTGTCAACATGTCGATTGGGCAACGTGTCCTTGGGCAAGATACTTAACCCTGAGTTGCTCCCGATGGCCAACGGTGTGTGAGTGTTAGCTTCCCTAGAGCAAGTGGTACTGCTCTGCACGAATGAAGGCTCTGGTGAATGACTCGTAGTATGTTTTCATACAAGCTTTGAGGGGTCGAAAAGACCTGATAAAGCGCTTTATCATTGAGAGATCAGCGAGCCGATAGGCAGGAGAGCAAAGTGTAGGTGAAAAAATGTGTCTACAAAGCTCTTAAAAACAATAGTCTGCTGGTTAAATGAGCTGCTTCACTCAATCAGACAGATACAAAAATAAGGATAAAATGGTCGCCAAGTATTCTTAGGTGGTGTGTCAATACGTTTTTGTGTAGAGCAGTGTTTCTAGAACATTTTTATATTATCTAAAAAGGAAGGAAATTAGGGAGTTATTTGAAAGCTTCCTATAGCTTACCAGGGTGTTTCCATAATGTTGTATGATTGTGCTTAGATTTTTATTTAAACTTGAGAAAAATGAAATGAAATGACTGAGGCTCCATGGTCTCCTTACAATCACTACTGTTATCAGAAGAGACCGAAGAGTCTGCAGTCCTTTTTTTGAGCTTCTGTTTCCATCTGTTCAGGTAAGTCCTTGGTTTGGGTTTGTTGAAGCTGTGAGGGCTGATGACCATCACATTTATGGAAAGTAAAGCTTTTGCCACAAACCCTGCAGCTGAATGGGTTTTCTCCTGTGTGGATTGTCATGTGGTCAGTCATATTTACTGCTTGTGAAACCTTTACCACAAAATAAGCATCTGAATGGTTTCTCTCCTGTGTTTCTGTATATCTCCACTCAGTGCAAAACATTTATTACACACTGAGCAGCTGAATGGTTTCTTTACCATTCTTTAACATTCTTCTTCTATTCTTTATTATTCCGCTTCTTCTTCTTCTCCTTCCGCTTCTTATTATTATTATTTCAGCTCTTCTGTACGTTTTTCGCCGTCCAACAACGTCAGCATATTGTCAGCTACAGAAACCATTCAAATATAAAAAATATTAAGCCTTTTCAGGACCAAACATTTTAAAAATATTCAGCTTTTTAAACCCTTTTTTTTACCTTGTAAGTCAATAGGCGTAACCTTCAAATACTATTTTACCTACACCGTGTTCAAAATGCTTGATAGGTTAGTTTTTGAACAGGAGGCAAAATTGTCAGAGATAAACCTCAATGCATTCTGGATGAGACTTAGTGCTGCAGTTGGTTACCGTGGTGTTGCTGTGCAGATTTTGGCCAAACACCTGAGTGACATCATCTTATCAGAGAAGACACCCCCACAGACCAACTGATATACGCACACATTTATTTTTCTTGATAAAAGTCCCCCCCCCCCAGACACACACACATACTCAGCTTTTTCAACAGGAAATGGTTGTGAATGTTTCCACTTTAACAACTACTACTACTACTACTACTACTGCAACTAATACTACTACTACTACTAATGAAGCTCAGCGCAAGTTCAACCAGGAAGACCGTCTTTACTCATTAATTTACTATTTCTATGTTACTACTCTCTCTCCTCTCAATAAGTGATCGGGGGCGTCACTCCCCAGCTTAACCAATAACTTCACTCTATTCCCACAAGCCTATCATAGCGCTCCGCTAAACCTTTTAAATCTGCTCTCCCCTCTGACAGCTGTCATTTCAGGTGACTCGACGCAACCCTCCTCCACCCCTTCTCACCTCCTGTCCCTCTGAATCGAGGGTCAAGCTAAGCCCCTCCCCTTCAGACCGAACCCAACTATCCATCCACCACCACCAGGGTCTAGACCCCGGGGGGTTTCATCGGATCGGTTCTCCCCTCCCGAATGATACTCCTGCACAACGGGGCCTAATCACCAAAACTCCATTACATTCATTTGTGTATTCCTGGCCATAAATATGTATTCTTACATTAAAACCGTCTCCCCTGATTGAACTACAACTACTGCTACAACCACTACCACTACCACTACTACTACTAATACAACTACTATTACTACGCCTATTAAAACTACTAATACAACTACTACTTCTGCTACTACTACTACTACAACTACTACTACAACTACTACTGCAACTACTACTACAACTACTACTATTACTACAACTACTGCTACAACTACTATCACTACTACTACTAATACAACTACTATTACTACGGCTATTAATACTACTAATACAACTACTACTTCTGCTACTACTACTACTACTGCTACTGCCCTCCAAGCTGGCCATCAAGCTCAGAGACCTCGGGCTCAACAGCGCCCTCTGTGACTGGATCCTGAACCTCCTTACGGGCAGACCCCAGGCAGTGCGGGTGGGAAACATCACATCCTCCACCCTGATCCTCAACACCGGTGCCCCTCAAGGCTGCGTGCTCAGCCCTCTCCTCTACTCCCTGTTCACTCACGACTGCGTGGCCACACACAGCTCCAACACCATCGTGAAGTTTGCTGACGACACGACCGTCATCGGCCAGATCACAGACGATGACGAGACGGCGTACAGAGAGGAGGTCGAAAACCTAACGTCTTGGTGCCAGGATAACAACCTCCATCTCAACATCAGCAAAACAAAGGAGCTGATTGTGGATTACAGGAAGCAGCAGGGAGAGGGACACGCCCCCATCGCCATCAATGGGACTACGGTGGAGAGAGTCAGCAGCTTCAGGTTCCTCGGGGTCCACATCACTGAGGACCTGACATGGACTCTTCACACCACCACCATCACCAAGAAAGCTCGACAGCGGCTCTTCTTCCTCCGCAGGCTTAGGAGGTTCAAAATGGATTCCAGGATACTCTGCAACTCCTACAGGTGCACCATAGAGAGGATCCTGACCTTCTACAGGTGCACCATAGAGAGGATCCTGACCTTCTACAGGTGCACCATAGAGAGGATCCTGACCTTCTACAGGTGCACCATAGAGAGCATCCTGACCTTCTACAGGTGCACCATAGAGAGGATCGTGACCTTCTACAGGTGCACCATAGAGAGCATCCTGACCTTCTACAGGTGCACCATAGAGAGCATCCTGACCTTCTACAGGTGCACCATAGAGAGGATCCTGACCTTCTACAGGTGCACCATAGAGAGGATCCTGACTGGCTGCATCACGGCCTGGTACGGCAGCTGCACCGACCTCGATCGTAAGGCTTTACAGAGGGTGGTGAAAACGGCACAGCACATCACCAGGACGGAGCTGCCATCCATGGAGGACCTTTACTCCCAGCGGCTCAGGAAGAAAGCCCTCAGGATTATAAAAGACCCCCATCACCCCAGCCACAAACTGTTCTGTCTGCTGCCGTCTGGCAGGCGGTACCGCAGCATCCGGACTAAAACCACCAGACTCAGGGACAGTTTCATCCCACAGGCAATACGACTGTTAAACACCTGAACTTTGAAACAACATCCATAACATTCATCTGGCTGCTACTTCGAAATTATTTATCTAATATATCATATTCCAATCACTTGTATATAGACTCTTATTGCACTATTTCACTATTTTACTATTTTCTTTGTATTTACTTGCACTATTTTTTTTCTGTTTTTCTGTTTTATTGTGTTGCACTGTTGGAGGAGCCTGTGACCTAAGATTTTCATCGAAATAACTACACTGTAGCTATGTACGTATGCCTAATAAAAGCCTTGAACCTTAGACTACTACGAGTACTACTACAACTACTGCTACAACTACTGCGACTACTACTACAACTTACTACTATTACTACTGCTACTACTACTACAACTACTGCTACTACTACTACTGCTAGTACTACTACTAAAACTACTACTACTAACTCAGCCTATACTTTTCAGCTTCAGGACATTGAGACTATACATTGTGTTGTTTATACCTTTTTAAAGTTGTCTTTAACATTTTAAGCTTCATCACTATTTTTCCTACACTGCCTGTTTTACATTTCACTTTCAAGTTTTCAACAAAGTCAGTGCAATGCATTTGAGCTGTAACAATTTGGATTTAAATCATTTCACTTTTCTGCCTCTTTCCGCAAAGTTCAGCAACACACTTACTTGGTTTATGTAGCTAAAAGCAGCTACCATTCAGCTAATAAAATATTCAACTTTAACTGCATTTTTAGCTAAATTCAGTAACAAATGTGCGCAATATTCAGCATTCACACACATTTTCAACAGGAAATGCATTTTCTAGTTAAAAGGTGTATTTCTGGAAGCTCTCGTCCCCCCCCCCCCCCCCCTTGTCCCCAGTATCCCCCTTGGGCTCCAATCCCATCCTGCCTCTCTGACCCCATCATTGAGCTTTCCTCTCAACAAGTGCAATGTAATATGGTATGTTCCACATGTCCTTGAACTCCACAGTACCTACCCTGTCAATGTAGTGTTATTTAACCCTGTGTGATCACTGAGTCTAGAGGTGACGAGTTCCCTCCTGTTCCTTTCTTTATAGATCTTTGTTATGACTGACTTCTGTAACGTGTGATATCCCCTCCCTTTCTGGTCTTTCTCCCACCTTTTCTGCCAAATTACATTACATTACATTACATGTCACTTGTTAGACGCTTTTATCCAAAGAGACTTACATACTCAATACTGTGGACAATCCCCACAGGAACAATTTGGGGTGAAGTGTCTCAGGGACACGACGACATGCTGACTGCAGTGGGACTCAAACTTGCTATCCCCTGATTCGAAGTCCA